GGCAGAGAAGAGGGGAGAGAGGGAGGAGACAGAGAGAGAGAGGGACGAGAGGGCGAGAAAGGAGGAAGAGGAGAGCGAGAGAGGGGAGTGAAGGCGACGAAGAGAGGGGGAGAGAGAAGGCGAAGATGAGAGAGATGAGATTTTTAGAGAGGCAAGGATAATACAAAGGTGACTTACCTCTCCCCTCAGGTTCATCGTCAGTCGTCAGGTTCAGGTTCTGCGCAGCTCTTTGTTCGACCTCCTCCTCGTCCAATGGATGGCTCCAGGCGACCTGCATGCAACGACGTCATTAATCGATTATCGATAGTACAAACAGTCAATGTTACTTACAAGTATAATCAGTATGATGACAGTATGATACAAGTATAATCAATAAATGATTACATGTTGTATTGAAATCACACTTGTCCGACTCTCTGAATATGATGTACATGTGTCAATATACAACAGCGAGAGGGAAGAGAGGGAGATACAACAGCGAGAGGGAAGAGAGGGAGAGAGGAGAAGAGGGAGAGAGGGATAGAGGGAGAAGAGGGAGAGAGAGGGAGAAGAGGGATAAGAGAGGAGAGATGGGAGAGAAGAAGAGAGATGAGAGGAGAGAGAGCGAGAGGGAAGAGAGAGGGAGAAGGCAAAGAAGAGAGATGAGAGGAGAGAGAGGAGAGAGGGAGAAGGCGAAGAAGAGAGAGGAGAGAAGAGAGGAGAGCGGATATATACACTCGAAAATTGTACAGTACACTGTATTCAGAACATCCTGCACAGACGGACACTACATATACGCGCCCCGTGTTAGATATACGTTTATATATCACTACATATCTTTACGTTACATACGTTTATATATCACTACATATACGCTTTCATTATCACGTCGCTTTTATTGCGTGTGTCAACACAGCTGGTGGAATCACAACGTGTATATACAATTATAATTATAAGCTGATAAAAAAAAATATTTGGGGCAACCACACCGAGACGCGATCCCCGACCTGCGTCTCGGGGGTTAAAAGCCCGTGGAAGCAGCCCGCGGTTCCGCACGCGGACGCTACCAACCAGGCCA